AATTGATTTGTATTCCGTTGCTTACTTGAAAACTAAATAATATTGATTATTTTAATGACATGAAGTGACTTAGTGTGATATCCCACTGTGTTGGAGAACTCTGATGAATTTTATGAATTGTTTATATATATTTATTATATTACGCGTACGGGGTAAAGTGGGGTGTTACACGTTTTACCGTATAGAGATATGATTCTTTGGGGTTTACTTGAAAACAGGCATAAAAACACACATTAAACATGATATCAGGATGAGATGTTATGAGATAAAATATAAAACCGGTCATACCTCGGTACCTACTTTCTTCGACTAGTTTTCCTCCCTTGTCTTTATCCAAGTTTTGTGAAGTACTCATCGGAGTGGATATAGCTTTTGCTTTGTCCATGTTGAATCTTTTAAGTATTTCTTTGCATTACTTTGCTTGATTAATGAGTGTAACTTTTTTAGTTTGATGAATTTGAAGGCCGAGGAAGTATGAAGATCCCTGATAATTGACTTCTCAAACTCATTTTGTGTCATCTCATAAAATTCCTTACACAAGGATTCATTAGTATCACCGAATATGATGTCATTGACATAAATTGGAACTAATAAGATGTCATGCTCAGATTTTTTTAATTTAAATGGTTTTATCAACCTTCCCTAATTGAATACTATTTTCAAGTAGGAACTTGCTCAGACGGTCATACCGAGCTCTAGAAGTTGGTTTCAGGATGTGCATAGTCTTTTGTCAGTTTAAAACATGATCAAGAAAAGAAGAGTTTACCAAACCTAGAGTTTGATCAACAAATACTTCCTCCTGGATGAAACCATTCAATAACGACTCTTTACATTCATTTTGAAGAGTTTAAAATTTGTGATGCATGAGAAAGCTAGAATCATCTTTATGGCTTCTAATTGAGCTATATGGACATAAGTTTCAGCAAAATCTATGTGAAAGATCCAACAAGTTTCAATCACTTATTAGTAGAAGTTTTGGGAACCAGTTCCCAAAGGTTTTTTTCTCTCAAATTGAATTAACTTTTCTTGCATAGAAAGAGACAAATGTTCTTCGACTAGGGCCTCATTAATGTCATTTAAATCAATTTGGGAGAAAATCCATATGATTACATACCGTTATAAGGGAGTGTTAAGTTGTAACTCCCTTAGAAATATGTCCAATGACATTCTAAATTTGATGGTCTTTAGTGGTCCTTCGTTCTTTGTGAATATTTTGAATATCCATGTTTTCTTCTTTAGTTTGACCTTAATCTCCCTCTTGATTTTAATTTTTATCGTGATCTTTATCTTCTAGAGATGTTTTCTCCAATATACTTGCATAATCAATAAATTCTACCTCTATAAACAAGGGGTTAGACTCATCATAGGTAACATGAACTGATTCTTCTATTATCAGGGTTCTTTTATTAAAAACTCTAAATTTTTTGGTAGAATTGGAATATCTTAGGAAGAAGCATTCAACATATTTTGTGCCAAATTTACCATGATTACCATTTTCATTGTTAAGGATGAAGCATTTGCATCCAAAGACATGTAAGGGAGAAATATTTGGCTTCCTTCCTTTATAAAACTCACAGGAAGCCAACTTTAGAATTTGGTTTTATGGAACCTCATTTTATAGGTGATATGCCTTTAAGGAGGACAATAACTTTTGATGATGACAACTAATGGTTAATGATGTCAACTAGTCAAGCATACACGGTTAAGTGGTTAAAGATGCAAACTAGGATATTAGGATTTAATGGACTTTACTATCCGATGATGGCAACCAAATGAAATATAAATTAAGCCTCATCTCAAGTTAACTCAAGAAAGGGTTTATAAGAAAGAAAGCATCTGAAAAGTCTTGAAGAACAAGAAAGTCTGACCTTGATTAGTCTGAGTGAATACTTTGTAAAGCATAAGACCATTCTCGTAAAAGTGCATGGCTAAATCACACACACAGACACACAAAATTAGTTTTTAAACTACTTTTTCTCAAGAATTTTTTTTCAAAAATGTCTTGAAGTCATGGCAGATGAACTGGAAGCCGTTTGAAAAGCTCTAGGAAAAGTTTTGTCTTTGCCAATCGATTGACGCATTGAACCAATTGATTTGTTTGGCTAATAAATATGTCCCAGGCGATTAGGACAACATCTTAATAAGGTGTAACATCTAAATGTATTTTATTTCTATTTTAACTTGGTAATCGATTAAAATGGAGGCAACTAATCAATTGGTATATAGTGCCAATCAATTGGCAAGTCATAAAATCCCTTTAAAACTATTTCCATTTTTAGCCAACATCTAGCATATATATAAAAGTTCATTCCCTCATTTCAAATCATCCAAAATCGTGTTTCATTTCACACTTGTCTCTCTCTCTCTCTCTCTCTCTCTCTCTCTAAACTTTTATTTTGTTTACTTTCTCTCACTAAGAATTTAGCCGAAGTACTTTTCGAGAAAGTCATTTTTCAAGTGAGGAAGCTATAATTTTAGAATGGTGGATTTGTAAGTTCACCAAGTAAATTTTTTTTATACATTGGTCAATCATTTTATCCAATTAGGGATTGTTTTTTGGGTTTGAATCTAAGCCCAAAAAAATCTTTGGTTTGGGGATTATGTGATCAAGCACTTGTTTAGGTTCGAAAGTTCAGTCCATGGTAAAAGCTCTCATATATTTTTAGTTAGCCAATGGTAAAACCAAGTTTAGTTTAATGTTTAGAGAGGTATCGAAACCTTATTTAGGTTAAGTCTTAGCTTATGATAAAAGCTTGTTTTGGTTTGAGATCATCCTAGTGGTAAAATCTCACAAGTTATTGGTTAGTTTGGTATAAAACCAAGGTTTAGGTTTGTAAGCTCAATCCGATATTAAAAGCTCACAATGTTTGTTTAGAATATTGAAAACTAATTGTTCGAAGATTCTTGTGAAAAGAAAACTAACCGCCCAGATCCGCCGTTTGGAAGGAAGGTTCATTGTTTCACTCCATAGTTTGCTGTTTTTTAGAAGTTAGCATTAAAAGTCATTTTTATTTGTATAAGGGGGTTCATGAGTATAACCTATTAAAATCTCTCAAGTTGATTGGATATTCTCAAGATCAATTTTTTGGGAGAAGAGTGAGTTTTTTTTCTTTGTTTGACTTAACCTCTACAACTTCCGATGCTCTCTCTTTTCCCTTAACTATTTATTTTCCACACTTTACATTCTGCAATTTTATTTTTTCGCTGCTTAATCTTAAAACAATTTTAAAAATATTTTCAAACTCTAATTTTAATTCCATTTTTTAAAACCATTTTTTTGTGAAACACACAATTCACATCTCCCTTTTGTGTGTGAAGTCACATGTTCAACAGTCTTATCAAGACATCGTTCATTACACAGTCAGTTGTGCTTATTGTGTCATCCCAAAAGTATTTAGGATGGTTAGTCTCATTAAGCATCATCCTCGCTAACTCTTTTAGAGATCTATTTTTCCTTTCGACTGCCCCATTTTATTGGTGAGTTCGTGGGGAAAAGGTATGATGATTCTGTTCACAATACAAAACTTTTTGAATTCCTCGTTTTTGAATTCTCCACCATGATCACTTCATATCGATGCAATGCTTAATCCTTTTTTTTTCTCTAGATAAGCCTGGAATTTTTTTTGAAACACAACAAATACATCTTTTTTCTGAGATAAGAATAATGTCCAAATATAGCGAGATTAGTTATCTACAACTACAAGGGTATATAGATTTCTGTTAAAAAATTTGGTTTTGGATGGCCAAAAAGATCCATGTTAAAAAGCTGTAAGGGATGGTTTGTATAAACAACATTTTTATCTTTAAAATAGGCCTTTACTTGTTTACCTTTTTGGCACACACCACATAATCAAATTTTCTCAAAATGTAAGTTTGGCAAGCCAATCACAAAATCCCTATAGACCAACTTATTTAAGTGGTCCATGTGGATATTGGTTAATCTTGTATGCCATAGTCATGATTCATCCTTGTCACTCAAAAGATAAACACCATTTGAAGGAATATTATTAAGATTCACGAGGTAGGTGTTTCCGCTTCTAAATCCGGTAAATATGGTTTGATCAGGCTTTGATTTGATAACCTTGTGTTGCACCCCAAAATATTCCCTCTCTTTTCCTAACCTTAACTGACTTGCGTTTCACATTCATATGCATCTCCATTAGGTCATAACTTTACATTCATTCATTGCATTGAGCTCCTAAGACATGGATCAAAGTATTTTCTTGTGATTTTGTTTTTCCTTATTTAGAGAGGTTCACCAAGCTCCAAGGTTTTCCCCATTCAGAGGAGTCATCAGAAATATTTGGTAAGGATTTCATTGGTGTGAATCAGGGTTTGACTTCTTCTCAGTTCAAGTCATTTCTTCATTCAGTGTACATCTCAATGATAGCTAGGGTTTCTCATTCATGGTTTAGTTTGGGGACATTTCATCAACTGAGGATCATTGGATATCAAAGTGTTCTTCTATGTTTCCAACTTTATTATTCATGTTCAAGGATTTAAAGTATTGATATTTTTGTTGATCATTAAAGTCAAGACAAAATATAAAGAGGTTGTTGTGGATTCATGTTGTGGTCAAGGCCACTGGTGATATTTGTTGATTGTCATGAAATTTGGGTATGGATTAGACGATTGCATTAAAGGTAGTGTTCTTGAAGATGTGAATTTGGATTTGGATATATCATTGTTTAAGCATACAAGTTGTGAGAAAGGTTCATGTGGATTGTTTTGAGTTCGAATTATCAAGGCAAATAATGCATCGCATTTTTATCCATTTTAAAGCCCATATCAAATTCCATTCACAAACCATTCCAATTATCCAAATTTATGTCCATGTTCATTTTGTTCAGAATTTAAATCCATTCCAATTCATTTTATATCCATCAATTCATTTCACCAATTTCCAAAACCAAATATCCCAAGTTAAACCCACCTCATATTCTTGATATCCATATCCAAAATCTAACCATCATTCCACTCACACACATTCATAAAATCCAATGACACCATCTCTGGCAATTGCTTCTTCGACTTCAACCATGTTATTATATCCCAAACTAGGAACATGCTCAATGTCTCTATCCATTTGTACCCCGACTTCACATTCAAAAATTCAACATTTTCATCTCTATTCACTGGGTAAAAGGGGTCAGTGTAAGGGTAAGGTTATTTATGCATCTCTCTTTGGGGTTGAAGCACCTGAAGCTTTGGTAATTGGGGTTGTGGCTTTGTTGGTTTTTGGTCCTAAAGGTGTTGCTGGGGTTGCTCAAAATCTGGGAAAAACATTGCGTGAACTTCAACCAACCATTAGAGAAATCCAGGATGTTTCAAGGGAATTTAAGAGTACACTAGAACGAGAGATTGGTATTGATGACTTTTCAAACCCATTACAAAGCACATACTCTTCCAATGTATGCAACACCATGTCGACTCCACCAGCCACTGAAATTACCAATAGTTCTCAGACTGTTGTTGACCCTAACGGGAAGCTAGATAAAAGTAAAGCATACAGTTCTGAGGAGTATCTTAAGATTACAGAGGAGCACCTAAACTAAAGGCCATTTTAAATCCTAAATACATTACAGTTTATTCATAGCAGAACTTCATTCACATAATAGCAAACTAACACATGACAACAAGAGGTGCAGTAAGAAATTGCACAACAAATACAACGCACGTGCAAAAATACAAAGCCATTTCAAAGAAGTGAAAATGCGTGACGAATTACACAAAATTTCATAACATAATTCAATGGAAAAACCTAAATGACCCTCTTAATCCACTGTATAAAAACAAGCTCCAATAGAATTGAAGGCTTCATTATCTTCATTCTTCTACTTCCAAACCTTACAAACCTCCTTCATCTTTCACAATTCATCAACTTGCAGCTTCAACAATTCACCATCTCCAAAACTCAACAACCTGCAAATTCACAGTAGCTACTCAATGCAAATCCAACATGACTATGAGCATCAACAAAAACAGTCTGAACGCAGCAAAAATCAACAACAATGATTCACAATTCAAAGCAGTGCATAGAAGAATTGAAGAAAAAGAAGATCGAAAAGTAGAAGAAGAAGATTCAGGGTAAAACAACACAAAGAAATGAGAAAGGATTCGAGGAATTCGGACTTGAAGGTTGTTAGTTCCATGGTTCTATAATTGGCTAAATTGTGGTAAAACAAGATTCTGCACTAATGTTAAACAGGATGTCATTACCATAGTTATGACATCGCTAAAGGAGCAAGCAGGAGCTGGTGAAAGAACTGTTGTGGAGTGGTTTAATGTGAATGTCATGCTGAATGTCGTGACATCCATCACGACATCCATCTGCTGTCATGATAGAACTACTGTCATGTGTGAGAAACAGCAGGAGCAGCAGTGCAGCAAGACCTAGCAGGGGTAAATGACAGAACTGCTACATGGATGTCATTACCAGAGTAATGACATATGAATAACAGAACTACTGTCATGGGTTGACATCTGGTGCTGCAAAAGCTCTGTGCAACAGGAGCCAACAAAAGCAGATGACATAAAGTTCTTTTATAGGTTGACATCTGGTGCAGCAAAAGCTCTGTGCAACAGGAGCCAACAAAAGCAGATGACATAATTGGTGTCATGGATGCAGCAGAAGCTATGTGCAACAGGAGCTAGCAGAGGCTGACATCAAGGTCGAGTGCAGCAAGAGCAAGCAGGAGCTAGCATAGGCTGAAGAAAGGACAGCTGTCATGGATGTCATTACCAAAGTAATGACATAGCTGTCTGGAACAACATGCAATTCTATGGGTTAGCAGTAGCCTAGTTCCTCATAGGCAGTATGAGGTGTGCAGCCACAATAGGTTAAGTTGTGATGAAGTTCCTCACAGGAAGTGAGTGAGGTGTGTTGTCATGTGTTTTAAGCAAGACATAGCTGCATGACAACAGAAGGAGCTGCTAGTGTATATCCCTTGACAGAATTGGTTTGGATTGATGAGATCATGTTGAAAATACCTCATCAGTAAATATGTCAAGGAGATGGATTAGGAACAAGAACAAATTGTATTGGTATTCATAAAAGGATCTTGGAGACCTTTTAGGAAACTTGAATATACTTGTTTCTAATATTAGTCTGCAGAAGATTGGGAGAAACCATGACTGTCATGATGAAGATTCTGCAGAAGTGTGTAGCAAAGCAAGCTGGTCAGCAAAAGCTGAATGTCATGACATTGATCGTATGACATCAGACGGGTTGGATTTGTTTTTTTGTTATGATACCTGATATATCTCAGGCTAAATATCAGGAAACATGTTATGACTTCTGAGTTATCTCAGGAGAGATTCAAGGCAATGCTGACCATGCCATGACCTAATTGAGAAGCACCTTGAATTGTGGAAATTAGTTTTATTTTGTTAAAATTAATATTTGTTACTTCTGCACAGCCCAAGCCCATCCTGCAGTGCTATAAAAAGAGGCGCAGAAGCAAAGGAAAAACAAGCACTCACATCAAGAAAAACCAGAGTGTAAAATAGAGGTCTAGGGTTGAGAGTCCCTTGTGTGTAAGTCACCCTTTGTATCTTTAGATACATTGTGGTAGACATATTTGTAAGTGAAGAAGGCTAGTCTTCGCGTGCAAAGTCTGTTTAGGAATACTTGTAATCCAAGCGATTTTCTGGTTGATGATTGGTTTGGTTTGGTAGATTCTAGGTTGTATCTCACTCGAAGCTGTGAAGCAAGAGTGTGTGAGTTCCTTGATCAAAGCTGTGAAGCAAGATCTAGGTGTGCATGAAGTGGTTCTTCATACTATTTTTGTAATTGTTTGACATCATTGTTGTGTGATAGTGGGGAAGTGAGTGGGTATACTCAAGTACTAGAGTGTCTCTAGGCTGAAGTGTCATTGAGTAGAGATTAAGTGAGAAGTGCAAACTGGAGGTTTGACTTTGAATTGATTCTACTAATAGTGAATTTCCTCCCTGCCTTGGTAGCCCCCAGATGTAGGTATTGTTGATACCGAACTGGGTGAACAATTACTGTGTTATTTATCTTTCTGCATTTACAATTCTGTACTTTAAATGGTTAGACAAATAGCATGAAAGAATGCAGATGTCACAACAGAGGTTGTGACATTGATCATGACATTGGGAAAATTTAAAGAAATTTAAATTGACCATGGTCTGTCCTCATCCTTGTTGAGCAGATATCAAGGTTCTTGGAACACATGCGTTCTACATACCAGAATATCAAAGGTATTCTCTGGTTTTCTTTTGTTGTTGCGCTGCCGTCGAAGACACCATTAGAGCGAATACGATTCGTAAGCGTTTGCTCTTTCATCACTCTTGCAAAAACACCATGTATACGTTAGCATGGTCTGAATCGTGATTTAGTTTTCTCTGTTCTTATTATGGACTCGGGAGTGAAAGAGGTGAGATATGTTGTGAGCAGAGGAGAAGACGTGAGAACAGCATCGCAGATGCGAGGTTTTTTTGTGTGCAGTGAAGTCCTTGTTGTGGTGATGTTAGCGAGAGTTGAGGCTCGGAGGAATTCAAAGACTCTGTCGCTGTCGGCTTCAAGCCACGACGCGGCAGTGATCTTTAGGTTTTTGGCGAAAGTTTTTTAACGAATGAGATAAAGCCGGGGTCAAAGGAGGATTTGTCGCGGCGAAGTGAGTGTTGCGGCGATGTTTCGCTGGAAGAGAGGGAGGCGAATTGCGGTTGGGAAGGAGGGAGACGAAGGTGAATAACATGGAGAATGGCACAAGGAGAGGCAGAAAGAGATGAAGAAGAGGAGCAGAACATTGAGCAAAGGAGGCGGCTGAGTATATTTGGTGTTTTTTTAGGTTAAATATTCATATCTTGGGTCGGGCTTTAAAATCCCCATGGAATCCATTTTTGCACCCCTTATTCACTCACTGCACCCCCTGGACAAAAAATCAACGGGCTTAGGCCAAAATTCCATGTTGATTCCATCTGCCCTTGTTACTAGTGCACCCTTTAGATAATGGTTTATTTAGTTTTTTTTAATTAGATTTTGAATTAGGATAAATGGATTAATTAGATTATGATTTAATTAGAGATTATTAAGGGTTGATTTTGAATGGATTTTTTTATTAGACTTTGATTTTAGCTTGATGCTAATTGGGTTTTGAGTTTAGTTTCGATTAATTTTTGATTAACTTCTAATCCTAGCTTTGACTTTAAAATTATTCTTAATTGTGATTTTCCATTAGGTTAATTGGATTTTTTAGGTTGTTGATAATAATTTTTGATATTGGTATTTGTTTTAGATAATTGTTTTAGACATTTTCTAATTGTTTTGGTTGTATATTTTAGGAGTTTCTTTTACTTTGTCATTGATTAATTCTTGAGAACACTTGCGAATATTTTCCTTGATGATACTTGATGCTTGCCTTGTGATGGATATTGTAATATGACTTGACTTTCTCTTTGTGCTTGAGTCTTGCTTATACTTGAGTTTACTCTTGTGATTTCTCTTTGTGATTGAGACGTTTCGTGTTTACTTGTTGATTACTTCGCACTCACATGATCCCTTAGGGTTTCTTAGTTCAACTTAATTTTTGATTAAGTTTGAAGTATGATAGACATTAGGCTCTCAATCTAAGCATGATAACATTAGGATAGTTTCCCTTTCTCATCCTAACCTTAGGGCCACATTTCATAATAACATGTAGGACCGAGTTCCCCTTAGACCTTCCATGTGTCTTTCTCTTCTCCCCCTCAAATCAATTTCAAAACACTTAATAAATACGATGTGCATTGTGCACCACGAGCCTTAAGCACATGGGAAAAGATGAGCGGATGAATTGTTAACCTCATCTTAGGGTACTTTGTGCGCGAGACGTTTGGATGGTTAGTACGAAGTATTCGATCCTATGTCATAGACTTTAGTGAAATGTACATCACAAACAAAGTCAATCCACTTCTTTTAAGCACTTTAATAAATTCAGAACCTTTTCTCTTTCCCCCGTGCGGTCGAGACCTTTTCTCAGCCGTATCTGTGAACTACGGATGCTCTGATTCCTTATTCTCTAATGAGGATTCGTAGGCACAAGGACCCCTATCCTTGACGAGCACACTAACAACTAACTCCCATTTTCTCTCCCCCCGTGCGATCGAGACCAATTAATCAACCAAGCCTTTCATCTTGCCCCAGTGAGATCGAGACCTTTTCCTGTTGTAGCCGAACTACGAACGCTCTGATTTTTTTATTCTCGTCCGAGTAAGAATACGTAGGTATAAGACGACAAAGTATTGGCGAGTAACCTTCCCCTTCACCCATAGTCCTCCGAACTACGTTGACTCTGACTTTCTCATTGCATGAGGGAATACGTAGGCCTAGGACGACAAAGTCCTATTGAGTCTCCTTTTTGTTTTTCCCCTTTTTGTTTCCATTTTCCGTTAGCATATAGGCTTTAGATGAACACACCATTTGATTAGAACAACAAGCGTGGATCTCGTTGAGTACAACATACGCGAGGGGTGCTAATACCTTCCTCCCACATAATCGACTTTCGAACCCAGGATTTGGTTGCGAGACCATGTCTTCTCTCTTTTGAGGTTT